TATATATATATATATATATATATATATATATATATGCTAATGCTAATACCAGTTTAGACGTTTACATTCTAACTGACGTTAGGAGCTTCCATTAAAGCGTAATCGTTGAGAAAGAAAGAAAGAAAGAGAGAAAAGAATTGGCCTTGTTCGACTCTCGAACCATAAATGATTTTTTTTTAAACTTATACGGTTCGAAATCGCATTCCCTTGCAATTTTAGAAAGAAAGAAAGAGTAAGAGAAATAAATCCGATAATTCTAATGCCATCCGTGAATAATTGAAAAAATAATAATCATTTCTTATATATATATACAATCTATAAAATAACATTAATATCAAATAAATTATCTAGTGTTGTAAAAATATAATTGATTTTGAATATATAAATAGCCTTAGGAATTTTGAAATTCAATTTATTATCGTTGATTTATTTCTCTTATGCAATTAATTGTATTTTTGTTGTCATTCTTCTTTTAAAACGCACCGTATTACGTTAAAATATTAAATTATATTCCTTCATTAAAAAAATTCTAGGGGTTTGCGTTATGTCTAGCAAATTTTTCTTTTCTTTTCTTTTCTTTTCGTGCGGTTCTTGTTGCAACGTCCTCGTGCAAGTGTGACGTCAGCTGGAGAGGATGATGGTGGTGGTGATGGTGGTGGTGGTGGTGGTGGTGGGTCACTGTTCAACATCATCCTCAAAGAGGTTTATTTGCATGTGAGGTAATTGCTTAGATTACTCGGTCATGTGTGTTTCAATAGAAACGAACATCATCCTCGTCGTAGTCGTAGTCGTCATCCTCGTCAATGTTAACGTTAACGTAATCGTTATCATCGTTGTCATCATTGTCATCGTTATTACAATCGTAATCGTTGAAACGTAACACGAGAAACGATCGAGCTTAATATGCACTAACAATAAGTGTTATTTAATATCGATCGTAAAGAAAATATAAATTTAAATTCTATTCAATTTTTTAATAAGATTATTATTATTATTTATTATATATTTATTTGGATTTAATGATATATTGATAAGTATTTTTTCGAAATTTTGATGAAATCATTTAAAACTGATACGAGCAATGTATTTTGTAATGTTGGTTTGATTCTACAAACATATAATGTTGGAATTTTAATTGTATTTTTATGATGGTTAGAATAATAGGTATTTTATTAAGTGTGTGTGTTATCATATGGAAAATAATAATTTTCTAGTATCGAATAAGTCAATTAATAGCTTTGGAATTTTTATTATAGTACATTATCAATATATTTTAATATATATATATATAATCAGGTTTTTATTGCACAACTTACAGAGTTTTTTACAATGTCTTAACAATATATTTTAATATTATATACCTCTCCTATCTCTTTCTTAATTATTTATAAAATAAAAATGAAATATCTATTAATTATCTATATTTCATAGTATAAATATTAAACATTGTATAATTTAAATATTACAAGAAAAAAAAAATTACTCTCGTAACTTTATTTTTTCTCAATCGTTCAAATCATTTACACACACACACACACGCACAAAATACCTTTAAAATATTTATTTATATTTTATTCATTTTTTAATTAGATTAACGAGATTATTTCTAATCGTGTTACCCTTATCGAACATTAATCCTACCTGTGTTCGCGTGCTGTTACGAGAAACGTATTTAAGATGCTTTTCCGCAAGCTCGAAGCAACCA